GTACAAATCTGTCGAACGTTGAGTGATAAGTAGAAGCAGATAGGCAAATAAGTACACATGCATATACATATACAAGTTTATGTTCGTAGAAGTAGTTGGATGAGCAGGCCACGTCATTTTGGCATTTCACATCGGCAGCAATTTTGATCGAATATATCACATTCGCCAACATTGGATTAACATATACATATGTATGTAAGCGCATATGTTCGAATGTGTTAGGTGGCGTTAAGAGATCGACCGTAGCAGAAACGTTGAGGTCGTATAACATTCATGTGAAACCGTGTGAAAACAAACGAAAATAATTAAACATTTAGATGGGGCGTCAAGTTAAATATGCACTTTTCTATGTAACAGTAAACTTATCTGGCTAACTGGTTACTTGGTTTATTTTGCGCAATACAAACATAGCAAACACACGTGCAAGTTGTTACCGAATACGCTAACAGTATTAATCGTTAGCTTTTTGAAGGTTTTATATACATACATACATAATTTAAACAATCGAAAGAATTAGTTGATGTGATTTTGGTTAAAATTTAAACAAGCGACATTAAAGCATTATTTCTAATGTTGGAAATTAATATATTCATTTTGGTAATTCCCCGATGTAGTAGAAAAAAAATCCATAAAATAGTTACCCCTTAAAGTTAAAAAAAACAGAAAAGAGAAAAACGCAGACCTTTGGTCACATTTCGAATGAAACAGTGTTGAGGAATTAAGAAAAATATATCTTGCAAAAACATTTGGCTAACAATTTCTGTTGTTCTATATGTTTAGAAAAACATTTTTTTCTGAAAATAACTTTTACTGGGAAACTGTTAAATTAAATGTAAAGATACCAACATTTTCACATACAAACATTTTGCATTTGCGAAGGCTTGCATGAGAAATAACAACGCCAGTTCATAAAGATGAGAAAAAAAAGGGTGAAACCGGAAATGCGAATTAAACACATGTATGTATATATGTACACACATGCAAGTCCAATTTACAAGTGAGACTAGGGCATAACATGGTACAACATTTTTCCAAGTTACACGTATATGAAGTTTGCGAACCAGAATTTTCTTTTGTATCCGCCGTCATCACTTTATAATGTTAAAAGCAACAAAATTTAATGCTATTGCCGCTATTGAGTGTTGGATTAACAAGCTGCAACTTGTCCATTTTGGGAATAGATACATCGGTCAGTGACTGCCTATTGAAATTTACGTCTATATTGATACAACATCGAGTGACTAGAAAACATTGACTGCCGGCCCTCTTTCTATGACTATTTATCTACTTGAGTATTATGTAAAAGCACACAAATCGATTAGGAAACATTTTTCATTAATTAAATGATCATGTTCTGTCAGATGCGATTTGTAGATTAGTTATAAACACTTGAGCAAACCTTTAAATGACATCCTATGGGCGTTACGACGGCTATTTGGACTAGTGAATAGACATACATACACGCAAGTATATGTATACACTGCGCGTCACCAGGTTAGCACACCTTCACCAGCTTCTGATTTTTTTGTTATTAATTGCATAATTATATTGTTTTCTTATATTCGTATGAACAACCACTGTTTTTGCTATTTTCTGTTCTTTTTAGTCACTTTTCGACAGTACTTGAAATTTTAAAAAAGTTGGCAGAAGTCGAAATTTTATATAAAATTTTTTGCGAAATACGGTCGAAATAATTAAGACTGTACCAAAAAAGTTATTTCCGATGTTAACAAAAGAACAATTTTGAGAAAAGAATCAACTCCCATGAATCGACTGCCAAATGCTGGTGTTAAAGTGAGCTTATCTACTGTTCAAAGGGTGTTAAGGAATGCTCCATATTTGAGACTATTAAAACTAAAGGAAAAACCACCACTTAAGATACATTTTGCCATCAATGAAATAGAAAAGGCTCGCAAAGTTTTCGAGTCTGGCCAGCAATATTCCACAAAGAGGTATTAGTTGAAGGTAATTAAAAGTCTTGATCATCAATTTCCTTAAATTACGAGTATATTGGAACATTTTACGAGTCGCTACCCAATCAAATCTTTGAGATCATTCTGAACTAGGAGAATCGACTCTTTATTAAAATAATATATAAATGTTTAAATAAGTTAGTACATAAGGTTACAAATATGTTCTTAGCCAAACATTTTAAAGAATATTGAAAAAAGGTAATATGTGCGAACCTGATGACCTAATTTGAATTGTTAATTTTTTTGTTGAGTATGGAAAAATATGGAAAAAAGATGAAACACTAATTGCTGTTTTTTTTTAGTAGAGAAATTATTCGTTTACAAGCGCTAATTTTAGAATTGTAGCTTTTTTAGTTTTTATAGAAAATAACCTAAACTATTTAACCTGAAGTGTGCTAACCTGATTAAGCGCGGTCATACAACGATTGAATAAAAAAAATAATATGATGACAAATCATATAGCTGCCGCTACTTTATTTGAAAAATTTGTGGCGCAGTATGAAAGCCCACACGTTGGTCAATTAGGTATAAATATAATATGTATATATTATACGTGCATTCGTAATATGTGTGCACAAATGTAGACTTATGGTAACGAAATTTTGTAAATAAAAGCTATTATATATTTAATTAAATAATACTTAAATATCTCAACTTGGGACTAATTTTATAGCTCAACATTTCCACACATAACGAATAAGCACACAAGTGAGTATTAGTATATAATATGTAATTGTGAAATGAAGTATTCTACTTAGCTTCACATAAAATTGCACTTGTGAAATGCTGACGCCTAGATAGATTTTTTAATTCCTGTGAGTACGCTAGTTTTGTTTTCCGATGTACTTAATTTATTTCGTGCCATACAAACGCATGTATGAAAAGAACACGAATTTGGCAGCAATATAATGAGAGAGAGCGAGCTGCTGACTCGTAATGGTGCTACTAACCAAAAATTCAAAATTATCAAAATTATGAAATCCACACGATGTCCAGACGTTTCACTTTACTATTGCACTATTTATATAGTGGACTGTAGCGGTACAAATACATATGCAAACGGCTTTAGAAATGTTAATTATTTCTTTAGTATATAGAATTTTATATTATAGGAATTGTATAGAAGAACAGATAAGAACAATATTCAATCACGTTGATAAATCTTGCACTTCTTGACATAAACAATTTAGGCCACTCATACATACATATCGTCATCTAAAATGCAAAATAATGTATCATTACTTTTCATAACTTAACAGGAGAAAAAACGACATAAAATAAATTGAAATAAAATTTGAATTTTGGTTATAACCTGGTTATATCTGATAGCATAATCTTAAAATTTTGTACGTATGTATATGTAATATGATGTAATGGATCGTAGTCAATAATAAATTTTGCATTTTTAGTTGACGATATACCATATATGTATGCACAGTATATGCATACATTTATATGTATATAGTAGGTAGTAGTACTTCAAAAGGAATTTTTTTTTGCCGTGCTGATTATGTTAATTAAATAATATACGCCCATGAAACATTTCTAAAAAAAAAACAATGTAGCCATAGAGTTAAAGTCCATATGCAATATATATATATTTACGAAATGTGTTCTAAAAAAGGGCTAATGCGTGTATTCAGAACTGTTACTATAATTTAGTATATTCCCAAATATAAAGTAAAATTAGCTTACGAACTCTTTTCATGTCCCATATAATGAAAAAATCAAAATTTATTTCGGTTAGTTATTGATTAAACAGGCGTTACAGTGGAACAATAAAGTGAAATATGAGAAAATGAAAAGGTCTGTGCATAGCAATCAAGCATTCGAGATAAATTATAAAGTTATGTGGTGGCATGAATATGTGTTTTTTTTTATAAAAAGTTACAAGAAAAAAGTTTGTAATACTGTACCTGCATATGCTGAGTTAATTGAACTCAAATTGCCATCGCTTTCACGACTCATGCTTTTAGAATCTGAAAATAAAATTAAAGAAAATGAAAGAGCGTGGCGCAAGCAAATAAGGAAAAATCTAAATGCGGGATCATGCGGGAAAATAAAAATTATTCAGCACAACGACAAATTGCCAAACAAAAAAACTTAATTAATAAAATTTCCATATACAAACCTTACGTGTATATTTATTAAGTAAGATCTGGATTAACCAGAAAATATAAAAAAAAGTTTATTTTTCATTTAGAAAAAATTAAAATATTTTACAAACTTCAAAACTAGCGTATAACTTGTTCTTTCTTTTTTTATATAGATATGTATTATATAACCTGTATATGCGATTATTAAGCTACTAAACTTGCATTTCATGTACATGTTATAGTCCTCAGAATGTTCTTTTTACTTTATATTGTTGTAATAGAAATCACTTGAGTTATAAATATGTATATATTAAAAGCTGAATGCGTATAGAGGGTGCATGCGTCTCATCTAAATTGTTGCTTACCTGGATGTTCAACAAATATTTCTCTTTTTCAACACATATTCGGATGATAACAGAATTATAAATCAATTTATGTAGACTGTGAATGGAATACAAAATGACAATAAACACGACTATTCAATAAAAAAAAAACTGTTGGGAAATATTTACAGTATTAATATTAGTTAGCAAAACATTCGCTAATATTATGGTATAATTTGATATATTTTTCGAAATTTACGGTAATACTTTGATTTCAAAAAGTTACGTGCTATTAAAATCATGAGAGGTAATAAATATTTATTAAGTATTTGTCTAGTTTCTAAGCCAATAATGAAATCTGTAATATGCCCCTTAATAGTTGTTCCAAGGCAATGCATGTACTTTCGAAAGTGGACTACATACATATGTAATTGTCAATCACAATATTATTTGTATAGTATTCAAAAGAAAGCTGACATCAAATTATGCAATAATGCAGCGTAAATTCTGTAATTGTCTCTTGTTAAAACTTTCTGCACAAATAAAATAAAAAAATAAACATCAATGAAAATACATAAACATGCTCCAATAAGAAATAATTATAATTGATTGCTTTTGTTGTAAGTACACAACATTCATAGCTTATCAACGAAAGTGTTGGAGAGAAGTACATACCATGCTTTGGAATTTCACTTTGCTTGTTCGTTTTTTTAATATGCTCCTAAAATCCTATACATACAAAAATACCACCATACGTTTCAATTAAATATTAAAATTTGATATATTCTATAAATATTATATACAGTTAGCTTGTGAAATAAATCCACTAACCACTTATTTACTTTTATTAAAAACTTCGTTCAATTCCAACTCAACTGATTTTTGTATTCAATTGTACTGTCACTTCGCTAGCTGACCGCTGGCAATTGCCTTTTATAATAATTCATTCACAAATATGTATATAAAATAATAACAATGATTACAAAAATTAAAATGGTAATGTCAACCGCCCTCGTCATTGAAGCGATTACTAAATGACAGTGCCAACATAATTCCCATATGGGTGAGAAATTAAATATAGACATTAAATTATTTTTCTTATTTTTTCATAAATAGACAACATAATTTTAATCCAAAATAGCACATTTTATATTACAAATACAAATTTTAAAAGTATATCTCAATAAATTTAAATTAAAAATATGTTCAATTTTTCATTTACTTAGCTAAATTCACTTCATATTGTACATTTATGAATGTCACCGAATTCGGTTGAAATGCATCTAGCAGTTGATATTATATGTTATCTTAATACGAAATGCTTTTTTTTACACGATTTTTAAATCTTCATATCAACCTACACTCATTCACTAAAGCCTTGTATTAAGTTCCGGGATTTTAGCTGAATTCGCTGCATAACTATGTAATGTCATCAAACCTATAGGGACAAAGAATATGTACATGCCTATGGGTGTTATTTTTAGATATTTAATTTTATGACCAACATTAAAAAGATAAGACAAATTAGACGAAGGAGTACAGACTGGACCTCAACATTTCTGTCAAAGATGTCAAAATTTCAATGGTAAACAATTCTAAAATTTTAGGTATCACATTCGACCGTCTGCACTCCTGACACTAAGGCAGGTAATTGGTAATTTGGTAAGCCTGCAAAAAAAGATCATTCCACAACATCTTCCATAAAGTCGATGGGCACATTCGGGTCTTCTTCACACACCACATTCAACAGCAGCAATAGCGTTTTCGGAGCGCACTGTACGGCGTCCCTGAGGATGCGCATTATCCACTAGAGTAAACGTGGTGTGAAACCGATCCATGGTTGCTTGAATTACCGACTCTCCTGGGCGATTATGTCAATAGAGTAAAGGATGCAGCGCGCGATGCGTCACGCGAACCGAACCTTTTTTTGGTAATAAATTAGCACAAATATTGTTCCGAAATTAGTCTGTTTATCATCCGAAAAATATATTGCCTCATAAAAAACCACACGTCAAAAAAACACCCTTATATACATACATATTTAGCTACACAGTATGTCCGCATAACTTCAAATTTATCGATATAAAAAACATGTTTTGCTTGGAGGAGTTCTGGAGGTGTATTTTTGAAAACTGATAGCAGTAAAAGCCACACTTACTATGTAAAATAACTTTCAATAAATGATATTTTTTTAAAAGTTGTTTGAACGACCATTTTTTGTGTTCACACAGTGAAAGACACTCACTGTAAGGAAACAATTTTTCAAATGAATTGTTCGATCTTGAGTCTATGTGCATCTGTACGCTTTGTCTTTACACTTCCATTGGGTTATACTTTTTTTGCAAAGCTCATTAAAACAGTTTTTTTTTAATTCATACATACATATTTAAATGACGATTAAGTGTATTTATTTGTATATTAATAGGTACATATATACCGATTGTTATTAAAACTAAAGGATCCGTTTAAGTTAATCAATCACCACAACTTGATCTAAAATATGGCATACCCTGTATGCAAGCTTATTGATATCCAAATAATAAACCGAAATCGTTTCAATTAAAATGTGCTAAAAACATACATACATATGTATGTAATTTACAATCCAATTCAAATATTTATGTACGAATATGTATGGACTATAGTTAAGTAAAGGAAATTAATTTAGAACCAAAGAAAGTGTTATAAATAAATTTATGCTTTACATATGTGAGTATGTTAATTTCGTGATTTGGACTTCGAATTTTTTTATTTATTTATTTAATTCAAAGTGTATGTATACTACATATATAACTGTTTATTTCACTCTGTTTATGTATGTCACCGAGTATCGAGTTTATAATATATTCTTAATTAGTGGTTAACCGCAACAGTCGACAAATAGTATGCCAACAAACCTAATCATAAATACTCTTTAGTGAAGCTTAAAACTAGTATGGAGATATACTAGTCTACATCTAGAATTTCCTAAATAAAATTGAACTAGTCAGCAAAACACCAGCAAAATAAACACATACAACGACTTGTAATTTTTTTATTACTTGTTATTTGACTTTGTATATGTTGTATATGGTTTTTATGTACATATTTGTGTACGTACCCAAGTAGTATTTTTTTTTATAAAATAACTCATATTTTTTATCAAAGTGGATTGGTCGGGACTCTTCAAGATAATTACAAGGGAAATAATGTGTAATAACACATTGATTAATTCTTATATATTTATATATATTTTCAAAAAGTAAGATTAAGCCGCGTTTTATTATTTAGTTTTTGAATGTGTGTTTATCGAAAACATTTGTATAAATATTGCATATATTTTTAAAAGTGTTATACATTTTTGCCTACATTGTTTAACACAACACAAGTTGACAACACAGTTAAAATCCCTTTATAAAACCCAATAGTACATTAAAGTATGACATTCGAAGAATGTGGTTTTCACGAATTAATATTATAAAATAACAATTATTTGAACGTGGCTTGAAAGAAGCTTGAGCTTATCCTCATAATTTGGTGCTAAATCATCCGAAATTTAAGAACCATTCATCGCTAGATAATTAGCTTAACACCGTGAGTTGTTTGAAATTTAAATTTTAAATTTTTTGGTACACGATCTTTTGCGAAAAATTCGGGTAATTTGTTACTGTAAAATGAAAACTATTAACAAATTTGAAAAAACTATTCGGCGTTACCTCGTAAATTGTGTACAGGAATATTATATTAAAATATTCGGTAATTTCATCAGTTTTGCTCCAATCGACTGGAAATATTATACACTCTATTTATAAATAAGAAATAAAACAACTTTAGAATCATTCAAACAGACATTTCAAAAAACTCTCTAAGGGGTTTGCCAATACTGTATAAACATACATACATATGGACAACTGAATCGTCTGAACATTACACTGAATACAAGAAAACATACATATGTATGTGTTGTAATTGTTATTTATTAAACTTGCATTTGGCTAATTCTACACAATTTTCATTTACTGGCTACATTACCAGTATTTCACTATTTTCTATCCCAAAATGCAGTCTTCTCCTAACGTCGTAAAATAATTTCTCACCGCAGTTTCAAGCGTTAATTTTTTTGTACTATATATATATATACAAATGTCTGTATATGTACGTTTTATATAAATTTCTATTTCGCATTAAAATTCAGGCGCGTACACGTCTGTCTCGTAAAATGTCGTTGGAGTAACTAAAAGTTTCTCCGAAGCACCTTAAAACGCTAAGCTTTGTTGTGAGCTACACGAGAGGTAGCACCGGCGATAACGAAAACAACAAAACCACACAGCAGTCAGACAACATCATCATTACTAAATTTTCAAGTAGATACATAAATGCTTATATAGTATATAGCAATAGTATAAAGTAAATGCCAAATAGCCTTTTTGTTAAATGACTTGGATTTGTGAATAAACAATTTACGATATCGTCACGCAAACCATACTACCAAAGGAAGGTGTGTGTAAGCGCAGAGCTTGGGATGCCTAATATTCGGATTTCTACCATTTTTATATTTTTGTAACAGGTTGCACAGAGGGTAATAGTTTTGTTAAACATTCTTGTTCATAAATACCTAAAGTGATTTAGCTTGGTAATTAATTAAGATAAAAACAAAAATATGTTTATCACAAAGCATTTGACGTGTTCATGTCCTCTTATTCATATGTAGGTGTTGTATAAAGAGTGGAATTTAAATAAAAGGGTGTTTCTTAGACATATGGTATTCCAGAAGAAGTAAACGCATACAATTTAATGTTACGGCCAAGAATTTAGCTTTTTATTAAGATGTTTTAAAAAATATTTCGGGCAAGTGATCCCCGCGGCTGGCTTGAATAAATTCCGGCAGAGAAGCCCAAATTTCGACCACTTTTTGTAGCAATTAAGGACGTACATATGTCAGCAATAACGCTCCAAATATTTTCTTCCAAGGCATCAATCGTTTCGGGCTTATCTGCGTAGACAAGTAATTTCACATAACCCCACAAAGAATAGTCCAGCGGTGTTTAATCGCACTATTTTGGTGGCCACGCCACCAATGGTTTCCTTCAATAAATTGATTGTTTTGTTGATTGTATGGTCTTGTGGGACCAAAGGTCGTCCACATCAACACTCTCTAATTCAGGCACGAAAAAGTCATTTATCTTGGCTCTATAGCGTTCCCCATCGAAGACGTATGGACCAATGACTCCCTCTGCTTATAGAGCACACCTAACAGTAAGTTTCATCGCTGAAAAAAATTTTCTTGTGAAAATTGGGATCGGTGGCCATCTCATTTTAGGCCCATTCTCTGAACGTGCGACGAACTTGATGGTCGTTCGTCTTCAATTCTTGCACGAGTTGGATATTGTAATCGTACGTGCGATAAAGGATGGACTTTTTCGGATCTTGTGCCATCTCTGCTCCACAGCAGCAATAGCGTGTTCAGTGCGCACTGTATGGCGTCTGTGAGAATGCGCATTATCCACTAGAGTAAACGTGGTGCGAAACCGATCCGTTTCGTTTTAAACACGTGAAATAACGGGCATTAGCTTTACAATTTTTGAACTTTAAATCCTAATATCTCGAAAACTATAAGTCTGAGACGAGTATATGTCCACACTATCATATCGCGGCGCCAAAGAATTTCCCCTATTGTTGTTGTAGCAGTTATCTAGTCCCCGCTTGCGTGGTAAGGTCCGGGTTGGGTGTCATCGACGTCATCTAACGGTAGGCCCAGGATACGTGCTGTTTCGACAGGGTTGCACCATAGGGAGCAGGGTGTAAAATGAGTGGGGTTGAGCATTCTAAGAGGTAATTAGTGTCATGCGGAGACTCATTGCATGCTATACATATATTTGGTAAGTCAGGGTCGCTTCTGGAAAAGTAGGAGTTTATCCTGCTACAGTATCCGGAACGAAGTTGCGCAAGGGTCACTCTAGATTCTCGTGGCAACTCGAGCTCTTCGTCTGCAGTGGGTAGTGGTTTCACTCCAAGTACTCCGATCACTGGGATGGAGTCTGTGAAAGTGTTAATGACTCCACTGTGAATGGAAGGTCAGTGCGTGTCTGAAGTTAGTTGCATCCAAAGTCTGGTGAGCGTACTGTTCGATGTTGTCGACGTAGTCAAGGAAGGACCTCTTGCTGTTCCTAGGAGGCGGCTCCGCTTTAAGCAGATGATGGTTTTGCGAAAAAATCACAGTAGATATTGGAGAGGAGCTTGCTATGTTCCTTAACCGGAAGCATATGGGCCTTGCTGTGTAAGTGCTCAACCAAGAGGCATCTTGGAAAGTCCGGAGTGCAGTGTTCTGACACGTCTAAGGCATCTTCGTCTGTGGCTGTGTACTTTGGCAGTTATTGTGGTCGTATGAGGAGTGAAGGACCACAGACTGTTGAATGTTACAACTAAAATCTTAGGAATATTGACAGTCGGAATTTTAACGCCATCGACGGTTGCACATGCCATCAATTCCATTGCCTAACGTCAAATCATAAAATCAGCTATCCAGTGCAACCGGTTCGTACGCCAAATTCGCCAAATGCCACGCTCCCGGGAGCTCTAGGCGGTATTTATGGCAGTAATGTAAAATAAAGGTGGTAATGTGAAAAACTATGTACGCGCATTCAAAATCGATCATTGTATATTCTAAAGGATTGTCGCGCGTTCCTGGTGATAATGGAAAAGCCTTTAGGCCATCCGTTCCTGATCACCCTATGCGAGCGGTTAATATCTCTAATTAAAGTCTATACAAGTAAAATAGTTCTATACAAGTAAAATAGTTTCAGCTACCTATTGCGGCTGGTTTGTACGCCAGTGCCCGCAAAGGGTGTCACGGGTACTTATTAAAGTGCATTTTCGCACTTTCGTGTATACTGCTTTTAGATTGGTGCTCGCATAAATCGCTTTCCAAATATTGAAGGCAAAGTAAAACGCTTACATCTGAAAATAATTGTCTTTTAGCTGTTGATGTACAAAGGACTCTAAATAAAATATTAACGACACATTGAAAATTGTTGATTTAAAACCAGAGGCATAATCACGATATTCTTAAAATCTATTAATAGTGAAATTTCAGATAAAGTAGATATACAGGATACTAAAATTTGTATTCAATTTACATAGTATACAAATTTTTCAGAAGTATTAGACTGCATATTCCCCTGCGCTATATTATAACTCTGTAACCAATGAAGCTATTAAATAGCATATACGAGTAGTATGTTTGTACTTGTATATATAATTTTTAAATAACAACGTTTGAGGTCGCGAGGCGATCTCATTGAGTTATTTCTTACTGAATATTAAAATGTGCATCCTCAAATATCTCGGTAAAATAATACAAATCCTGTAATATTATCCAAACGTTACACTTTTAAATAATTTAATACAATACATTCTGAAACTTCTTTTGAATAAATAGTTCAACAATTACCTCGAGGGGGTGGGCCTGTTTTCGGAGCGGCGTGTGAGCAAAGTCGACCAATTTTTGAAATACTTCCAACTATGTCACTACTGTAATTAGTTGGTGCTCTTAAACGGCTTGTGGGTCCACCAGTTATTGATGAAGCAGGTGTTGAAAGTGTAGAAGTCGCTGTTGCCACTGGTGAAGATGGTGCTTTCGGTATAGATTGGCCATTTGATGGATATTTTGGTTCTAGCAACAACGTATCACCGTCAGTGGGTGGCACAGTTTCGGACGAAGATGACATTGGTGGAGGCACTTCATAATTACTTTTATCATCACTCATTTTTGTAATTTATTAGGATACAGTTTGTTATACTTTGTTTAACCGTCACTTTATAGGGTGAATTATTGCTATTATTATTCTTATTTTCTTTCTATTATAAACGATAAAGTCATTTACTCAACATACTAAAAAAAGATAATAATCATTCACAAAATATGCTTTATCGTGATTATCTAAAACAGTTATCGGCAGCCAATATCTCGCGGGTACACTCTGAGTATTCGTGTGTTTCACACAGACGTCTTGCGAGAAGGCGTTCGCGGAAAGTATACACATGTATGGTATATATGGTGTGAAGCAAAAAACCAACGATTTTAGAGCCCTTTTATATTGAGTGGGATTGAGATTTTTTCTTTGTAGAACACAAATAGGTATGTAATTTGTTTCATATACCAGTTGTTATTTGTTCATAATTTATAATACAATTATTTATATCTTTCACATATCATATTTATACTCTGTACAGGTTATGTACATAAATGATCAGCATGATGAGCTGAGTTGATTTAGCCATGTCCGTCTGTCTGTCTGTATATACGCGAACTAGTCCCTCAGTTTTTAAGCTATCGATCGGAAATTTTGCACCTGTCCCTTTCTCATTAAGATGCTTATTTGTCTACGCGAATTGTGTTAGACTCGATGCAAATGACACACACATTAGGAGCAGAATATCGAGGGGTACATTGTTAAGGGCCTAACATGGCTATATCAAAGGCAGGTCGGACGACACTGTTTTGCATGATGTAGTGTCATGGCTGGAGGGAGCCCTTATGCACAAGGAATTTCTGCACAATATTTGGCAGTGGTTAAAGTCCTCGAAAAGTTTGAGGTGGAATCGAATCTCAAGCATATCATATGTAGTCTTCTTTGCGACAGAATGGTCGTAGCGGAGTGGGGTTGTGCCAAAAGGTTAATAGAGGAATTCCGCAGGGTGGAGTACTTTCCCACTGCTTTGGATCTTGATGGTAAACGACCTACTTAAAGAACTCGAGGAACGAGGCTGACGATGTTCTTATGGTTACCGAAAAATTCCTAAATACCGTCTATGAGTTAACAGAAGGGTACCTCAACGTTTTATTCAACTTGGCGAATAGAAACGATCAAGGCGTCAACCCAAGTAAAACTAAAATGGTTTTATTTACTAGGAGGTATTAGATTCCAAACGTGTGTTTCCCCTCTTTCGGGGGTTTCATCGGGTGCCTTATATTGATGCAGAGGAGATATAAGGAAAAGGTGGAAACTCTCACCAAAAGTGGTGTTTTGGCTCTACGAAACCGGCGTCGAGCCAATAATGTTCTATAGTGTATTACGGTGTATTCGTCTGGTGAAGGGCCCTCGAAAAAGCTTCACTTGCT